TTTATAGAATTGTAAAAAAATTTGGAAGATACCTCTAATGATAAATCGACAGCTATTTTAAATTGCTGGATGTCAATTGTTTGAAGAAAATTGCATGTGTTTTGCTTCCACATATCTATGTGAACAAATCTTTTATTATATGAAACATTTTTGAGTTTAACAATTGACAAACAAAGAAGTTGTTTAACAATTGAATATTCAGAATCATGGGCCGAATTAAAGGTTATAAATTATATCCCTGATATTGCAGTGTTAAATAGTGTGGTACAGGGACAAGGTTCACATTAAAATTTTAATTTTTATTTAACTATATTGAAGGAATGCTTATATTGTATTATAAATAAAATCATCTTATTCAACTTTAATTTCGAAAGCCTACAATTAAAATTATATGAGTTTTTGAGGAGAGGGTTGCATTTCAGACATAAAAACTGATGTTGTGTTCTAAGCCTTATACCTGAAAGTTAAGCATCTTATTTTATTTTGAAATCTTTCCAAACATTAAAGTTGACAGGGATGTTGTTGAACTTGCATCAGTTATTCTGGCAGAAGTTTAATGGAGCAAATCGTTTTTTTTACACTGATACAAAATACAGACTCAAAATATACGTAGCGTATTCGGAAACTAAGCAACGTTTCATTCTAGTGCCGTCGCAGCACTGTGGTAGGCGTCCAGCACATGCGCACTAGCTCTATGTTGGTTGCTCTATGTTGTGTTTTCAGTTTTCTGTGCACATTCAAAATGTTTAAGACAATTAGTTCTCCCGCTGACTGAGATTCGTGCCGTGATTAAATTTTTGAACGCGAGGAATGTTAAACCGGCTGAAATTTATCGTCAAGTGACAGAAGTTTACGGTGAATATGCGATAAGTGATGGAATGGTGAGAAAGTGGGTAAGAATGTTTAATGCAGGTCAAACAAATGTCCACGCCGAGGCTCGGAGTGGTCGGCCTTCTGTTGTCACCGATGATTTGGTAAGGAAAGTTGATGAAGCAATTCATGAGAACAGACGCTTCACAATGACAACTCTTTCAGAGGCATTTCCACAAATTTCACGTACTGTTTTGTTCGAAATTGTATCTGACCGCTTGAATTATCGCAAACTGTGTTCCCGATGGGTTCCAAAAATGCTCACAAAACAAAGTGACTTGGTAGTGCCCTGACATTTCTCACGCGGTACAGTGATGAGGGAGAAAACTTTTTAAACCAAATTGTGACAGGTGATGAAACTTGGGTGTGTCATTTCACACCAGAATCGAAACAACAATCGATGGAGTGGAGACACACTCATTCTCCAAAAAAAAAAAAAAACAAAAGTTCAAAGTGACAATGTCATCACAAAAAATCATGTGCACTGTCTTCTGGGATAGGAAAGGCGTTTTGCTTACTGAATTTCTTCCCAGAGGTGAAACCATTAATGCGGCACGATATTGTGAGACTTTAACAAAACTAAGGCGTGCCATTCAAAACAAACGAAGAGGAATGCTCAGTAAAGGAATTGTGTTGCTCCATGACAATGCTCGGCCCCATACTGCTGGTGTCACTCAATCGTTAATTCGACAGTTTCATTGGGAGCAGTTCGATCACCCGCCGTACAGCCCGGACTTGGCGCCGTCCGACTATCACTTGTTCCTGCACATGAACAGGTTCCAGCTACTGGAACGGAAAAAAAAAGCAGGAATCGAATGACAAAATTCAGGAAGTAGGAATTAGTGTTTAGCAAATGAAATCGGGAAATAAAACATCCCGCCAAAAAGGCATTTGCCGACGTCGGAAGAGATCACTTTTTTGGTGAATTGTGTATCACGCGAGTGTCATTCGGGCAGCTGGCATAGAGCCAATTTTCGAAGCCCCAATTTGATTGTCTTTTAGAAAGGCAAATCAAGTTTCCCGCAAATTTTGGTTTCCAGTAACCTCGAAAATCGCATGTGCAGTGCATGAACTAAAGAAAGTACCTGTTCTCGTATAAAACAAAATGGGTTTAATCCTAGTATATGGTACCATGAAGGTTAGAATCAAAAAATATGTATTGTAAAGAAAAAAAACCTCTTTGCAACAGACGTAGCCCCGTTCCATCATAGAGGGAAACAGCTGTGCGTGCACGATATATATGTCGCCAAAGCTCGAAACCGGTGTCGAAGTTCGAAGGTCACGTTATCAAGAATTCATAAGATGAATATCGTTTAAAATTTCTTTAAACTCTTAAGGAAAAGAAAATATTTTTTGGCGAAAGTAAATTAATTCATGAATTAGTTATTTTGAGGGGGAAAGAAACGTTCTTTGATGAAACGTTTCTTCTTGGATTTTTCGCAATAATTTATAAACGGATTTTCGTAGTTTTCTTTTTTGTCAAACAACGTTTCTTCTTAACACGTGTTTCTCAATTTCCTGTACACATCGCGGAGAGGGAAATTCTGGCCGCCAGGTTCCGTCGCCAAATCCCTTCGGAAAATTTCCCTCCGCTTTCTAGCCGCGTAATAGCATTTACGTGTTCTTGGTGACAATTTTCAAAATCGTGTGAAGGCCGTACCATATACTGAGATTTTACCGCAAAATCTTTTTTTTTTTCCTTCTTTTCTTTTCTTTTTAATAAGTACCTTGTCATTTTGCAGTAAAACAAAAAAATAGTAATCAGTCATCTAGGCTAACCATGTAATATAACTATATTCGCTAAAATATCGTTGATTATTCTAATTCAATTTTTAAGTAGTTATCTTTATTTTTATAATTCATATCATTTAATGTTGCTTCTTCCCTTTAAATTTATTTATCATTAGTAAATAATATTTCCAAATTTCAGGAAATTTTCTCTGGCATAAACCTGAAATTAATTCTAGCAATATGATGACATCACGAAATTTAATCCACATAATTTTTCCTTATGTATGCTGCGAAATAAATATAAAATACCTCAATTTAGTAAAAAAATATCATTAAATAGATTTCTTTCTTTCATTTAGCTACAGAATGTCTGCAAAAAAAGCCTTATTTTATTCCAGATTGGGGAGATTCTAATCTCAATCTTCAGTGGAGAAAACAACTCCTATTATAATTATATTTGTGTTTTCAAGTGTTAAGGTGCCTTTTAAGAAGACACCTCACACAAATTAAATTTACCTAAAATCTAACCTAACTTTTAGCATTGCATTGTGATTTATAAGAACCGGATTAGCCTCATGTTGAACTGGTGATGATCATGAGTAATAATTAAATAAAACGTATAATTGTTATACAATGTATATATCTTAAATTTTAGTAAGTTTCTTAAGTGGAAAAGTAAACAAAATTATCAAACAAAGTGTATCAAGAATAATTAAGAATAAATGTCCTCTGAGATTTATTGAATAATTAAGTGAATTTGCCATAAATTAAGTGAAAATACCATAATTAATTTACCTCTTAGCACAGCCAACGTACATTGCGCGGATAGACTGGAATTTTCTCGAAACATACCTGGAAAACCTGGAAAAGTCAGGGAATTTCATTATCATGTTTGAGTGGCAACCCTGCATGAAGTGCGAGCTTGGTGGCAAGCGCTTTGGATCTGACAATGACACGAAAAATGCTGTGGAGTCGTGGTTATCGAAACTGGCGGGAAGTTTCTTTGACGATGGTATAGAAAAACTGGTCACCCGCTATGACAAGTGTTTGATCATTGGCGGAAACTATGTTGAAAAATAGTTTAAGACATGTATTTTCATCTAAAAATAAAATTGGATTTGAAAAAATTGTTTTACTATTTTTTTTTCAAAACGGTACTTGGTTTCCGAATACGCCTCGTAGATACAGCATATGAAAATTTAAATTGCTTATCACTGTTTTTCACATTGCATTGCTATCATTTATCCATTTTCAAATAAAGTCTCACATTGTGCTTTTTTTTATGCCCAGGGTCTTCTAATTTAGAAACTACTGTACTGCAGGCTTTTTCATGAAAGGCAGGACCCAGATATTATTTTTTCAAAACGTGATGAAAAACTGAACTTGCACTCTTCTTTACAAAAATTAAACTAGCTTATTGAGAATTAATTAAGCTTAAATAAAACCAAGGTGTGATTCTTTTGATTGTGTTATGACATCATGCTTATCCATTTTTGCCAGATAGTCAGGCTTTTACTGTATCATATTATTCTTGATTTATGTTTCTTTTTTGCATATAGTTCAACTGTTTTAGTAATAGTTTGATAATTTTATGTTAAATTTTTTATATATTTGTATTAATTATAACAGTTTGAACATTATAAAGCATTGCAGATATGTTAGTACCTGCACTTATGTAGTATAGGCACATGATCTATAACATTTATTAGTCGTCATTGTCAGCATATGAGAGAATTTGTAAAATGGCTCCATGGAAAACATTAGTTAATAACTTTATTGGGAGATCAATAAAAGACAGTTACAGTCCACTTAAGTGTTAATGCATTTTGAGACTATGCTTCTATTCAGAAAAATGCAGAACTTTGTTGTTTGTGTATATGTGTGTGTATATATATATATATTTACTAGACCGTTTTTCTTCATATTAAGTAATTCAATGTTTACTGGACATTTGAATTGCTATCATAAGCTTGCTTTATGTAAATACATTTCTTGCTGAAATGAGCATCCTTCTTGATTGATGTATGTGCATGTACAAATAAATAAAAAAAGAGAAAAACAGTTTGCTTCAAGCTTTTCATTGTTTCAGACTTTTTATTTGAGTGTTCATTTTTCTCATCAGTTGAGTACATATACATGCTAGATGTTTAAGAAGATATTTGTGTTAATTTATTACAGGATTAATGTGTGCTGATGGTAACGGTTTTCATTTGACTGTTGTTGAAGGATTTGTGTGATGAAGTTTTGTTTTCGTATTTTATAACATGTTTTTAATTTTTTTATACATAGAATTATAATAATTCTAATGTACAAATAATATTCTAATACATGAAATCTAATACATATATTTCTGATGTAATAAATTTTCTAATATAGAATCGTATCCTATATCTTTTTAGACAAAGAGTATGTGTATAATCGGATGAAAAGATTACGGGATGAAAATTCATTTTTGAGAAAAAAGTTAGAAATTATAGGCCGTACAGCTACTCAACAAGAAAACCACATAAGGGATTTTGAAAAACTGATTAGAATCTTTGAGCAAGAGGTAAAATATTTTATCTTGTGGGAAAATTCATTAAATTAATTGAAAAAATTATAAATCTTTTCTTTGTCTTTTTGTAACATAAATATTGTGGTTTCTAGAAATCTCTAATTGTTCATTAAGAACCAGTTAGTAGAATTTGCTTAATTTTTCAGATATTCAAAATAGGTACTGATATCGAAAGCAAAAGAATCTTAGAAATTACAAGCCGTATAGCTACTCTACAAGGAAATCACATAAGGAAATTGGAAAAACTGATAAGAGTCTTTGAGCAAGGGGTAAAATATTTTATCTTATGGGAAAATTCATTAAATTAATTGAAAAAATTATAAATCTTTTCTCAGTCTTTTTGTAACATAAATATTGAGGTTTCTAGAAATCTCTAATGGTTTATTAAGAACCAGTTAGTAAAGTTTTCTTAATTTTTCAGATATTCAAAATAGGTGTTGATAATGAAGACAACAAAATCTTAGAAATTACAAGCCGTATAGCTAATCAACAAGGAAACCACATAAAGGATTTGGAAAAACAGATAAGAGACTTGGAGAAAGAGGTAACATATTTTATCTTGTTGGAAAATTCATTAAATTAATTGAAAAAATTATATATCTTTTCTTCGTCTTTTTGTAACGTAAATATTTTCTAGGAATCTCTAATTGTTCATTAAGAACCAGTTAGTAAAGTTTCCTTAATTCTTCAGATATTCAAAATAGGTATTGATATTGAAAACAAAAGAATCATATCTCTGATTAAGTCCACATTACTGTGGCCACATTCCATTCAATTTAAGTATCAGTTATTCAGAAGGATACTTTGCAATCTTAATTTTTCCATTACCAAAATTAAAAGCTTGTTGGTTATAGCTACTCATGTTCAAGACTACTACAAGGTATACTTTAAGCCATCTGTTCTTGATAATGCTAAGCACTTTCAGATTATTTGCACCCCCGCCCCAATAAAAAAATTGCATATTAGTTGATGATTTTGGAGAGCATTCTGAAAATTATTGAGTAATTTTTTAGCAAACTGATGCACAGAAGCAAGGGCTGTTTTCAAATTTGCAGCACACTATGAATTTTATAAAAGATCATTAAATCAGATTTAAAAAGTGAGAAGCATCGATAATAAAACACTTATCTTTTTCCAGAAATTCCTCTTTAACTTTTCTGCTGCTTTTGTTCACCACTTGCAAACATCGATCTGTTTAATAGAAACCAAATAAATAAAAAGAATAGCTGTTGTAAAGGAGGTAAGCCAATATCCTACCGTCATTCTAGCACTTTGCTTGCAATTTTTCATATTTCATTTCCATGAAATTCAGTTGTATAAGTGCAACTTCATAAAATGAGAATTTATGCATTCTGTGAATGTATATTATATTATTGGGCAGAATACAATATTTTTGCAGAAATGTAACTTTTTCTTTAGCCAGCAAACTTCATGCTTCCATCACAATTTGTTGCTAGAAAACAAATATATGCAATAATTAGAGAGCACATAAATTGCAAAAAGAAACACTAATCAGGAAAATGACAGTTGAATTTCAAAGTAGACATTCGCTGCATACACAGCTGGGTTGCCCTGTATATACTTTTTGGTAACATATTGCAATGTCTCGTGAATGCTTTTTTTTTGTGACTTTTCAGTGGGGGGTGTAAATAATCAGAAAATAACAAATGATGAGTAAGTGTTACTCCAATATTTAACAGCTTTTACTTTCTTGACAGTGTTACAAGTTCTTGTGATTTTTACTTTTTTTGCACTGTTAATAATTTTGTATGTTCTTCATAATATATGTATTATGAACACCTGCAGGTTATTTAGATCTCTGCATGACAGTGTTAATTTTAATGTCCATCAGTGTAGTTTAGAGAGCTAAAAAATAGATCTTTTCCTGACAAAGGAAATGAACAGCTAGAGAATAGGCCTTTCCCAGGGGGAAAAAATTGTGTATGTAGAGGCTCTCCATTTGACTCCCGTAAAGTCTAGGAAAACGTAGAATAATTTAATTTAATGTGTTGTTGATAATGCTGATAGATATGAGCACTTTATTCAAAGCATAACATTTAAAAGTTACTAATTTGTGATTTTTATTTTCTTCCTGAAATGTGTCAGATCTACTTCCAATTATCTTTCAGTTTTTAACACTCTTTTAACATAAAAATGTGTGTGAATATTTATGCATAATGTACATAACTCCTTCATTAATTTTTGCATTCTTGATATTTACTTTAGAAGTATACTACAGAATTTTATAAATAGTATAGTTGGAATTAATGATCTAATTTTACTTTGATAAATTCTATGAAGTCAGCTATGTAATATCGTCAGGGTTGCCACGCTACCTGGAAAACCGGGAGAACCGGGAAAAGTCAGGGAATTCGAAAATTGACCAAAAAATTCAGGTAAAAGTCAGGGAATTCAAGTATTTTTGTCAAAATCTGGAAAAGTCAGGGAAGTTCATACAACGATCCCGCCAAAAAAAGCGATTTTTGCGCCGACGTCGGAAGAGATAACTTTTTTGGCGAATTGTGTATCACGTGAGTGTCATTCGGGCAGCTGGCATAGAGCCAATTTTCGCAGCTCCAATTTGATTGTCTTTTAGAAAGGCAAAGCAAGTTTCCCGCAACTTTTGGTTTCCAGTATTCTCGAGAATCGCATGTGCAGTGCATGAACTAAAGAAAGTACCTGTTCTCGAATAAAACAAAATGGATTTAATCCTAGTATACAGAACCATGGAGGTTAGAATCAAAGAATATGTATTGTAAAGAAGGAAAACCTCTCTGCAACAGACGTGGCTCCATTCCATCATAGAGGGAAACAGCTGTGCATATGTGATATATCTGTCGCCAAAGCTCGAAACCGGTGTCGAAGTTCGAAGGTCACGTTATCAAGAGTTCATAAAATGAATATCGTTTAAAATTTCTTTAACCACTTGCGCTAAAAAGACGTGCCACGCACGTCGAGATGCTTTTGTCTCAAACCGCGAGCGACGTGAACACCACGTCGATAAGCATTTATCGCAAAAATGAAAATAACGTGGTGCACACGTCGCCTAACAACGAGATTGTTTATTTCTCGAGTTACAGCTCTGGATTGCACTCGCAGATGCGGAGCGGCGTAAATGAGACACTTTACCGCTTGTTATATTGTAGCGCACGGCACCGCAACCGTGAAGTTTAGTCTTAGCGCAAGTGGTTAAACTCTAAAGGAAAAGAAAATATTTTTTGGCGCAAGTAAATTAATTCATGGATTAGTTATTTTCAGGGGGAAAAAAAAAAAAAAAACTACGAAAATCCGTTTTTAAAATTATTGCGAAAAATCCAAGAAGAAACGTCCTTTGATAAAACGTTTCTTCTTGGATTTTTCGCAATAATTTAAAAACGGATTTTCGTAGCTTTCTTTTTGTCAAAGAACGTTTCTTCTTAACACGTGTTTCTCAATTTCCGGTACACATCGCGGAGAGGGAAATTCTGGCCGCCAGGTTCCGTCGCCAAATCCCTTGGCAAATTTTCCCTCCGCATTCTAGCGGCGTAATAGCATTTTACTTGTATGGAACCTTTTCTTCTTTACATAGACGTTCTTTGGTTAGAATAATCTCCATGTATGGTACAATGGGATTTGGCGACATGATGATGCGCAGTAAACGGGTCATTTTGGTCTTGGCGACAATTTTCAAAATCGTGCCAAAGCCTTACCGTATACTAGAATTTTACCGCAAAATCTTTTTAAACCTTTTTTTTTTTTTTTAATAAATACCTTGCCATTTTGCAGTAAAATAAAAAAATAGTAATCAGTCATCTAGGCTAACCATGTAATATAACTATATTCGCTAAAATATCGTTGATTATTCTAATTCAATTTTTAAGTAATTATCTTTATTTTTATGTTATTCGTATAATTTAATGTTGCTTCTTCCCTCTAAATTTATTTATTATTAGTAAATAATATTTTCAAATTTCAGGAAATTTTCTCTGGCATAATCCTGAAATTAATTCTAGCAGTATGATGACATACAATCACGAAATTTAATGCACATATTTTTTTCCTTACGTATGCTGCGAAATAAATATAAAATACCTCAATTTATTAAAATAGATTTCTTTCTTTCGTTTAGCTGCAGAATGTCTGCAAAAAAAGCCTTATTTTATTCCAGATTGGGAAGATTCTAATCTCAATCTTCAGTGGAAAAAACAACAACTATTATAATTATATTTGTGTTTTCAAGTGTTAAGGTGCCTTTTAAATTTACCTAAAATCTAACCTAACTATTTAGCATTGCGTTGTGATTTATAAGGACCGGATTAGCCTCATGTTGAACTGGTGATGATCATGAGTAATAATAAAATAAAACATACATTTGTTATCCAATGTATATATCTTAAATTTTATTAAGTTTCTTAAGTGGAAAAGTAAACAAAATTATCAAACAAAGTATACCAAGAATAATTAAGAATAAATGTCCTCTGGGATTTATTGAATAATTAAGTGAATTTGCTACACTATACAAGTAATACCATAATTAATTTACCTATTAGCACAGCCAATGTACATTACGCGGATAGACTGGAATTTTCTTGAAACACACCTGGAAAACCTGGAAAAGTCAGGGAATTTTATTCTCCTGTTTGAGTGGCACCCTGTATCGTGTAATGTTTCTGTTTAAAGTATTAAAAAATTTTGTTTTTAGCCAGCTTTTCTAAAATTTGATGATTTCATGTTCAATCATTTTAATCTTCGAGGCCTTCCACAGGCTGCGTATGCTGCATACCTTAATTCTGTAAGAAGTGCTTTTCATACTCGTCAGTCTATTATCTTTTCTGAAAAAGCAGTGTCTATTTTGAGTATGGTAACATCTCCTCTTACAAAGAAGCAGATTAATACAAGCTCTGAGGACTTGTACGATGATCCAAAACCTTCGACTTCAAGTGATATGTAAGTTAGTCACTTCATTCATTTTTTTAAGTTTTTATTTTGAATTTCTTATCATATTCTGAGTAATTAAAGTATATTATGTAAAATAAATTAATATTAAATTTTTAATCTGAATATTGACCTATTAATAAAGACAACTCGTAAAGATTAACTAATCATCTTAGTGGAATTTCTTTATAATTTTGTACGAGAATATTTCTTGTAGATCAGCAGACATGTTGTATTATACCAGTATAAGAATTTTATTATTAATATGATTTAACATTGTTCTATGCTGATACTATCATCCTATTAGTTAAACATTAGAAGCTTGAATGTGTTAAAATTTTGCATGTTTGATAGATAGTTTGCAAAAAAAAAATTATGTGAAAAAGTCTATCCCATCAACCACTGGGCTGGCCAGTCCTTTAATAGAGTATTTAGTTATAGATTATATGAATTTCAAATTGGTGCCATCTGTTTTTCTTTATTGTGTCCGTTTTTGTAAGCTCTTGCAAGCATGAACTGTAGTTCAAAGTCCGAGATCCGAATTTCGAAATTTTCTGGATTTGAAATCGATTTAAATCTTATGAAATTACATTTAAAAATATGGAAGGCTCTCTGTAAAATAATGAAGCATTTATGACATTAAAGAAACCAAAATTTACACACACACCCCAAAAATTATTGTTAACATATTTTTTGCTGTATATATATATTTTTTAAATTTAAATATTGTAAGTAATTTTGTTTCATGTTTTAATACTTTTTTAAAAAGTTTTATAGTAAGAAATGACAGTCTTATTCAGCAAGAAAGTTTCATTGTTCAAGTTCTGTATATGTCAAAAATTTGCTATTTAAAGCCATGATGAAGGTTTTGTCGTCCAGTGATTGATTGATGATTTGATTTGCATTGAAAATTTCAGCTATATCATCTTCATTTAGCATTTCTTCACGTATTCCACTTATTGGAAAATTTCTTCTGTCAAAACCACTAGGTACTTTTTTTTTTTTTTTTATGTATTTCCTCGACACCAGGTCTCACCAGTTTAATTTGGTTTCTTTCTTGATACAGTGATGTTTACCATCTGACCATAGTTTTTAGTCGAAAAAGGCTATTAGTCTTGAAACAGGATTTTGAACTCTTTCATTGTAAATGCATTGTTTGACATGTTAATAAACATGTTTTCTCACCCTGTTCATATCCTTCCATTCTTACATTTTATATTGTCACAACCATGCTAGAAAAGCATTTCCAACCATGCATTGTTATGTGAATTTCTATTATCCAGGTGTACTGTATTTCTCCTGAAAATTTGTAACCACTGTGCTGACACACCCAGTATATAGATAGATAGACATATATATAGATAAAAGCCGAAAAGACAAGTTATTCTGTACACTTGCAATGAAACCATGTATATGAGCACAATGGGAACTAGTGATTTATTAGGTGCTGGCTGTGATCAGTGCCAGTGAGTATAAATATCAGAATTTTAATAGGCATGTCAAAGTTTGTTATCAGGAGCAAATAATAATCTAAAGGAGTTTCATCATGACAATTGTTGGCACTTGCAAGGCCAGATGTTCATCTTCAGGAACCGACTTCATGCGCTACTATGGTACTGGGTAACAATATTACGAAAGTGGAGAAACAAGTGTGAATCATGTAAAATGTTGTAGTGAGCCAGTGACTGATGTGCAGCAAAGATGTAAAAAACTCGATTGTGTCATAGTGATAGTAAGAAGTGTAATTTAATATCATATTACAGCAGATTTTGATGCAGATGCTTTCCTCGGCATCTGCACAAGAGCTGGTCATCAGCAGTTGCACAGTTTGGTTGTAACAGCTCTCTCAGATTCCATTACTGGTGAAATGATGTTTGCTACAACTGTAGTTGGCCAAATCGCTTCACCATTAGATAGTAGAAGAATGATTTGATAATGGGCTATCTGGTCTGATTAATTGTTTTCACTTGCTATAAGGTGGTAGTGTTCATGTGCGACACATAAACTGCACAAAACACTGCATCCCTCAGGTAGGTATTGCACAAGCCAGTGGCAGCAGTTTAACTTAGGGTCCTCTTATCATGTTGGATGAAACCCTGACAATCTTGGACTGCATTGAACTGTTGGTTTATTATCTCCATACTATCAGCATTCGTTGCAGAACGATGCTGTAATTCAGACAGATAATGTGCTACCCTGTTGTCACACGTTGCACAAGAGTGGTTTGAGTGCAGCAGTGAGATTGGAAATTACTCACTTGACCTCCAAGTGTCTTGACATGAATTCTCTCGAGTCTATGTGGGACGAACTGTAATGGTCTCTTCACTCTCCAGACTTACCCCCAATACTCTGTGTTGGATTTAAGGTAGAAGTTGCAGGATTGTTGAACAACAATCTCTCCGCCTCAATTTCAGTATATCATCCAATCTTTTCCCAGTTATATTGCTACTGTTATCTTCACAGAAAGGAAGAACAACATCGTATTGAGCAGTATATATAGTAATTTATTTTTCCAATATGTGTAATAAACACACACATATATTAATGATATTAATCATATTAACCTTTAAAAGACAGCAAAGTTTGGAAAGGTTTTTCTTAAAAGGATGGGAAATTGGAATTCATTTCCACCCTTATTTTAGCTGCCGTTGTAAAGGGAAACTACAACTGTTTGGAAACCTTTCCTTTAGGGATTGCCTTTGTTAATTTTCAGATAAGAGATTGGGAAATGCAAAGAATTTTTTTTTCTCTTTTCTGCTTTACGGAAAAGAGGCAGCATATGGGTATAAATGCGAATAAAGGCTGAAATTGTCATAAACAGATAAATATCAAAATGTAGGTACTGTTATGCAGGTCACTTCTACAGGAATTTAATTCGTATTATCATTATGCACGAGAATGTGAGGAATACTGAGCTTATAAATGTTAACCACAAGTGATGACTCTCTTATTCTTAATTTTTTAGAAAAAAGAGACATGCTGAAAAGTAATTTAGTCTCTCGGTAAAATATGAAATAAGATAAATTATATAATATAGATAGTTTAGATGAATTTTGTATGATTATCAAAAATTGAACTAGCCTTGTTTGCCTATTACATGCAAAAATAACATCGTTAAGGATAATATTTATTATTATTTAATTATTACGTGTTGTGCCATTAGGCACTACAGGGAAAGGGAAGGATGTTTTAACTGAACTGGCTTGTATTCACATTACACATGAAGAAAATCATGAAAACATCTATGCAGCCACCTCGTTCACTGGGACTTGAATCTCAGAATGAACTACCAGTGTTCAGAGTCTTTTACCATTTGGCCACTGATGGGCTTTCGTTAACAACTTTCTGTGTGAAATTGGTCCATATGTTCATTGAACATGGAGCGAAAAACCAAAAAGCTTCATTTAGCTACAGTGGAGAATGTAACTTTTGAGAACCACCAGTGTATAATCAACCTTACTGATATGTCAAATAGGTAATATTCAGTTGACCAAAGATATGACCTGATTGTTATGAATATTGGTAGAGTTTCTTATAAGAAAGAAGTTGAAGCAAAATGATACATATGTATCTATATTGTCATTATTAATAATCATTTTGATTATCTCCAAAGAAACAAAACTAAATAGTAATTTAATGAAAGATTTTTTTTAAAAAAAACTTAAATCTTGGTAAATGCTATAAAACTGTTGAAAGCAAAATGTGGAAAATGTATTAAATGTGATTAATAAAACTGAAATATTAAAAATGAACGAAAAATAGAAAGCAAAAGCATAAAATGAACTATTGCTGATCTCACAGGAAGATCCTGACTTTTCAAGGGGAATTAGCCTCTTTTCACGAAATCATCAATAATCGGAATATTATCATGTTTCATCTCTTTCATATTTTTGAAAAACTATGCAGAATGAAAAAAATAATATTTGAATTTAAATCTGGGATTTTGCAACTATATATATATATATATATATAGAGTTTATACATACACACACGCACGCACACACACACAATGGTTGGTCTATGGTGGAAAACGAGAATTTTGGAAATCTTTTTGCACCAAAATTCTTCGATTAGCTTCAAAATGATCATACAACTTGTAAAATTTTTTAATTTCTTTTATTTAAGAAGGTCATAATTTGCAAGGAAGGTGAGGATGCTATATACACACATCCTCTTTTGGTTGCATAAATAAATATAGCTGTGTGATTGTCCTCTGTTGATTGTATGAATAAAAACGAATGTGTGTATTCTTATGTCCTCTTTTTACTGTATATATAAACACAACTAACATTAACTGTTCTTTTTTTTATTGCAAGAAAAATCACAAAATATAACATGTTTAAAATCTTTATAAAGCATTCCTTTAATTGTAATTAATGTAATGAAAGGAGTAATTTATAATAGTTATTTTGAGAATCATCAGGCATTTAATTCTTCGAAATTCATCAGTTAATAAATAAAGACTAGGTGTTAGTGATAAATATGATAATACTAAAATATATTAAGAGGCTTAATCATTAGTTCCAATTATAGTTTCATATGAAGTTAAAAAATCATGTTAAACCGTAAAGAAGTAATAAGATTTTAGAGAAGATTTCACAATAAAAAGGACATATTTTGCACTTTTAGAAAGTAAGCTGAGGATTTTAACTTTTTACCATATTAATCTCTCCTATCTTTTGGAGTTACAAAGAGAAAAGGATAACACGAACGGAGTAATGCTATTTTTGTGAGATTTCAAAATATCTACTAAAAATCAAGTAATCGTGGTTTCTAGACATAATGTGTTCAGAACTTAAATAATTTGATTGAATTCTATGTCATAGTCTACTTTATTTTTTGTTGTAACAAGTAATAATTTTTGTTGTAATAAGAATAATTGTAACAAGTAATAATGTCTATTCTAAAAGAATCAATTTGGATAGAAAAATTAACAGATGAAAATTATTCAGTATGGAAATTTAAAATAAAACAACTTCTAATAAAAGAAGGTTTAGATGATGTTGTATTCG